ATCATAGGAATGATCCTCCAGATGTCTTGCAAAGCCCCTCCCATCCTGCCTCTGCTCTACACACGCAGCAGGCTCCATAGCAGTCACTTCCTGGATGGGATGCTTCAGGCCCCCGATCACCACCATCCTTACCCTGGTCCTCAGTGACTCCAAGCTGTAACCCGTGTGTGAGAACATTTAGGATCTAGCATAGAGAGGGAAGTGGCCCGGGAAGACATGAACCTGGCATTTCTTCCAGGACCTCAGAGGAACCCGGAATGGAGGCATCCTGGAGATTTCCCCTCATCCTTACCAGCATTCTCCTTGAGGGGGCTCTTCCTTGCCGGTAGCCAGAGCCTGACCTGCTTCCTGTGGGTTCTCTGCAGTCTCTGCTGCCTCCTGCAGTGTGTCCTGGGAAGACAGTACAGGCACCTGGTGAAGGAAGGGTGCTCTGCCCTTCCCAGGGAGCCAGAGCTGGGCGGGGCGGAAATCACCTGCAAGGCATCCTCCTGCATCTTCTGCACCAGCTGGGCATACCGCCCCCCTTTCTGCATTAAGTCTCTGTGAGTTCCGTTTTCACAGATCTTCCCATCTTCCAGCAAAATGATCTGGTAGCAAAACTCTAAGTACTGGGCAATCAAAAGCAATAAGGTCTTCAGTAAGTATATGTGAGGGTGTTCAACTTCATTATTCATCGGGGAAAATGTAAATTTAAATGATAATAAATATTAGTTTGTACCACCAGATTGGCAAAAAAACTCACAAGTCAGACAACCCCATGTATTGGCGACAATCCAAGTGGTTTGGTTTGGATGTGAGTTGTCCTCCAAAAGCTCACAGGTGAGACAATGCAAGACGGTTCAGAGGAGAAATGAAAGGGATTAACTGAGTGGTAACTGAAGTGGTGGGGTGTGGCCGGAGGAGGTGGGAATTAGGGTGTGGCTTTAGTGTATACATTTGTATCTGGAAAGTAGATTCTCTCTCCCTGCTTCTTGGTCACCATGATGTGAGCAGCTTCCCTCCACTACACATCTTCCACCATGAGGGTCACCTCACCTCCAGCCCTGAGGAATGGAGCTGCCCTTCTAAGGACTAAGACATCTGAAACCGTGAGCCCTCGAATAAACTTTTCCTCCTCTATAATTGTTCTGGTCTGGTCCTAGCAGTGAAAAAACTGACTAAAACACCAAAGTAAGGAGAATTCTCATAAAGTGCTGGGGAGATGGTAGGTTGGCACAGATACCTGGAAGGCTATTTAAAAATACCTAATAACGTGCAAGGTGGTTTCGGTTTGGGGAAACTGGGGACCAATTCCAGGGCCTCCCACGTGCAACTATACCCCCAGCCCTTAAGATTTTTGAAGAATTATGAACAACTGATTCCTAAAACTCTATCCTAAAATAAAAACCTCTCAAACCTATTTGCAAGGTCAGTTGTAAAT